AAGACGAGCAGAATGGTGAAGCTGGTCAGCTTTGCCATGGATCCAACGGCTGAGAAGCACTGAGGCTCCATTTTCTGATGCAGATTTAGTTTGTAACAGTGATGTTTTTGTTCTGATTTAACTCTCAAGATCTGCACATAAAGTTTAGAGAGAGAGAGAGGGAGAGATGTGGAGGTGGGACAACTGGAGCTGGCTTTCTTTTCACATGCTAATTGGTTTTTAAAACTCTCACTCTAATCACAGTTTTGAGGAACAAATCGATGCAGTTAATGTTACTCAAAGTTTTGTCGTCTGTGTCACAACATGCACCCTTAAATTCCAGTTATGCCCTTTTCAGCTACTCAAAATATACTCTAAAACTTTTGGTACTCCAATTCGAATCTCTTTTCCTTACTCAACTTTTCTCATTATTTTTGTATGAAAAAAGACTTGCATTAAAGAAGAATAGTGTTATTCAGCATTAAAGAAGAATAGTAATATTCATATATTTATTTTTACCTTCTAGACATCTTGGTTAATATTTTGTCATTGATCTTTTTCATTTTATTTGATCCGATAGTCGAAAATTGAAAAATGTATGTGAAAAGTAATAGATGTGTGAATAGTACTACGCTTAAACAAACATACGCACTTTCTCTTTATATCTATCAAAAAACAACAGGTATACACAACGTAAAATGAAAGTTCTCCTTCTATCGCATATCTACGAAGATATTATCACTCTTTATTTCTTACATTACGTGTTTTAATAATGTATTTGTAGACATCGAAATTTCGGTAAATAAATGTTGACCGATAAATCAAAGTGTCAACGCTCATGTATTACATAAATTTTACACGTAGCGTGTGACTCAACGAAAATTGAAATGAGTTGGAAAAGTCATCAAATAGGACACGTGTCAACACCTGGCAGAAACGACTTATTTCATCTGGAATATTATATTCAAAATTAGGCCTTGGAAATTTCTATAAATACAAGCCCATTTCATTCATTTGGGGAACCAATTCATATTACACCTTGAAGCTCTGAAGCTCTGAAACTCCGAAGCTCTCAAGCATCCAGGTTCCCGAAGAATCAAGAAAGTGTTCTTCGTTCTTCGTTCATCATTCTTCCAAGATCAAGCCTCGACGGCCCTTGGATCAACAATCATCCACCTTCAAGATCAAGCCCCGACGGCCCTTGAAGAAAGCGTTCTTCGTTCTTCGTTCATCGTTCTTCCAAGATCAAGCCTCGACGGCCCTTGGATCAACAATCATCCACCTTCAAGATCAAGCCCCGACGGCCCTTGAAGAAAGCGTTCTTCGTTCTTCGTTCATCGTTCTTCCAAGATCAAGCCCCAACGGCCCTTTGGATCAACAATCATCCACCAATTCAAGATCAAGCCCCGACGGCCCTTGAAGAAAGCGTTCTTCGTTCTTCGTTCATCGTTCTTCCAAGATCAAGCCCCAACGGCCCTTTGGATCAACAATCATCCACCAATTCAAGATCAAGCCCCGACGGCCCTTGAAGAAAGTGTTCTTCGTTCTTCGTTCATCGTTCTTCCAAGATCAAGCCCCGACGGCCCTCGGATCAACAATCATCCACCTTCAAGATCAAGCCCCAAAGGCCCTTGAAGAACTTCCACCAATTCAAGATCAAGCCCTGACGGCCCTTGAAGAAAGCACCATCGTTCATCATCCGTTCATCCAAGATCAAGCCCCAACGGCCCTTTGGATCAACAACGTCGACAAATCCACACATCCAACCGTTCTTCAAGATCAAGCCCAAAAGCCCTTGAAGATCCGTTCATCACTGTTCTTCAAGATCAAAAGCCCCTTGGAGATCCGTTCATCACTGTTCTTCAAAGATCAAGCCCAAAAGCCCCTTTGAAGATCCGCTCAAATCCACCTTCAAGATCAAGTCCACAGCCCTTGAAGAACGTTCATCCTTAGATCAAGCCCATCGGCCCTTTGGATCAATCGCACATCCACAAATACACACCTTACGGAGATCGAATCAGAGGATCGAAATAGAGAGAGATTGTAACCCAAAATCATCAAATACAAATATTTGTTTGTGCACGTCGTTTCTTGTCTCTTTCGTTTCAGGAATTTTCCGTGTTCACAGTATTGTCATAAATAAGAAGAGAAGAATATGCCATGATTGTATGATAAAATATGTGAGAGTTGTATGACTTTATATCTATATGTGTGTGGAGAGAGACCTGTTACAAACTATCTCGAGAGAAATAAGAATACACCACATTGTATGAACTTTTTCTTTCTGTTTATGCGAGAAAATTATGAAATGTTATTGTGAAATATATATATATATATATATTATGCCCAATATGTTTATCCACACAAAATGGCATATTAGGTTAAACATTGTATCGTTATAAGTGTTTTAAAAATGACTTAAAGTGTTTTTAGTGATTTTTTTTAAATCAATCATTAGTAAAAAATTTAAGTGGATAATGCAAATGCACTTTAAGTGTTTTATGCAAAAAACACATATCTGATACTTCTTCCAAAAAGCACTCTGAAATCCAAAATCAATTTCACCAAAGTACTTTCAGTCAATTTAAAAACACTTCCAAACGTGTTTTTAGGCAATTATCAATTCACGTTTGGTTAATTGTTTTATTTCGAATAAATTGTAATTATGGTTCCTTAACTTTAACTCAATTGGAGCAATGATCCTTCAACTAAAAATCTATTACCATTGGTCCCTTAACTTATCAAAATGTGCAGCTATGGTCTCTCAACTAAAAATTCATTACTATTGGTCCCTCAACTTTAATTCAACTGAAAAAATGGTCCATTAACTTTAACCCAATTGTAGTAATGGTCTTTCCAACATAACTCGTTTTGACAAAAATTTTGACGTAGTTGATAGAAATGACTATAATTACACACTTTGATGAGTTAAGGGATCCTAATTATATAAATGATTATTCTAACATAACTTATTTTGATAAAATTTTGACGAAATTGATGAAAATGATTATAGCTACACATTTTGATAAGTTGAAGGACCAATGGTAATGAATTTTTAGTTGATGGACCATTGCTCTAATTTGATTAAAATTGAGGGATCATTGCTACAATTTACTTTTTTACTTCTTTTGTATGATGAGGGGCATTTTGGGAACAAAATAAAAAACATTAGCTTCACTTAAAACGATTGTTAAGGCAGACAGCACGGTATGGGGGCCCACAGGGCATCCTTAAGTGTCGGTTGGGAGCAAATTCAATTACTTGTGCACTTTGTCCAAATCTTTTTATTAATTTGCCCAAACCACCAGGACAAGGATTCTCTCCGGATTTTTTTTGTGAAGATTTAGATATTAATCAATCGTGTCTATTCATTATATATCGTATAATCAGTTTTTGTTAGGTACTATTTATATTTAATTTTAAATTAAAAATTAAAAATAATTTTTAACCGTATAATATACGATAAACGAACACGATTAATTGATATTTTAGATCCCCACAAAATGAATCCGGAGATGATCTCATTCCTAACCACCGGATTACAACATAAATTGGTATTTAATCATTATTGGCAATTATTTAGTCACACTTGCATACTCCACCACGTTGTGGGGCCATCCATTTCCTATATTTAATTAGTGTGTGATTCAAATGTTTGGTTTTTTTTGTCTTTAAACCAGGCCTACAATTATTTGATTAGTTAATTAGTCTACTATTTGTGAGTCTTTCTTTAAAAATGTGGACTATTGTAGCAAAATCACTAGTTGTTCATTTTTTTTTAAATAAACTAGTTTTTCTCCAGTCGAATGTTTGAGAATTCTCGATTTAACCCATTCTTATTCATTATTTACCTACTTTTATTATTAATTACCCTTTTTCAGTTGTTTCGTGTAATTTCTTTGAAAACTGTTATTTTTCTCTTCTTATTTCAAGAATCAAATGACTAAAACAAGGGTTTTTCAAGAATCAAATATAAAGAAAAAATCTTTACCTATCAACTGTAAATGTCGGATACAAGAAAAGTATGTGCAATATAATCGAATCGGTGATTTAAGTCCTCTTAGTGTTTTTGACTAAAATAAGTTTGAAGGGGATCCTGGAACAAATCCATAAGCAATAGAATAAGTAATGATAGGTAGACTAATTTTTTTAGACCAAATTTATAAATTATGGAGAAATTTTTCAGTGTGCTAGGAACACGGCTAGATACATTAAATGTCATAATACAAGTTGTTGGATATTTGAAAAAAATATTTCAACTACTTGTATTATGACACTTAGTGTACTGATCCGCGTTCCTATCAAATAATGTGACGTGTCACCAATAGAAAATAAACATGATAATCAATATTTAAATAATAATCCAATCGCCACTTAGGACTACGATGTAGATTCCTCTTCACTTGTAAGTGAGAGGTCTTATGTTTGATTCTTGCCAAATGTGAGTTTGAACCACATTATTGCTAGCCCATTGTGAGACTAAGCCCACCCCATTTCCTTAATGTAGATAATATCGTTTGTTCAAAATAATAATAATAATAATAATAATAATTCAATCATCAACAACAAATTGAGAGTAGTGCGAGATTGATTTCATGGTTGAAAATATGAATTTAGTAAAATTGGTTAAAGTAATATGTTTTTACTTTGCCTTCAAGTTCAAAAATTTCTCTTTAGAAGCTGTAATTTAGATTAAATTAGCGTGGACTACTGCTAATATATAGCTTGTTTGGATGTGCTTTTAAAATGATTGAAAACGCTTTTAGTGAAAATATTTTTTAAAACAATACTTAGTAAAAATATTAGTAAATCCTGGAAAAACACTTAAACTGCTTCATGGGACAATCACATAACTGGTGCTTCTTGTAGAAAGCACTTAAAGTGCTTTTGAAACCCAAAAATATTTTTTCTAAAAACACTTTCAATCATTTTAAAAGCACATTCAAACAACTTTATATAAAGAACCCAAATGAAAATGAAAATTATGGTTGTACGACACGTCGTTTATTTTGGTGAAAATAAAGGCACAAACTTTGGGGACGAAAGGGTTTTAGGAGAGCCAAAAAAATGGAGAAGAGCAGCTTGGAGCAAATTCTGCAAGATGCCAAGCTCCACAGGCAGCTCAATTCCCTCATCGTCGCTCATCTTCGCGACAGCAATCTTTATCAGGCAAGCAAACCACTTCTTCTTCATTACATAAATACACTTGTATAAATATATATGTATATGTATGTGTGTGTATATACATATATATACTTGTATGTTCATGTGTGTTTTTTGGTTGCTGAAGTGTAGGAAAACTAAAGAAATTGAATATTCAACCTAAAGTTTCAATTTTTTTGGTTTTGGGAAGAAATGAGTAGCAAATCTCACTTGGGTATGAAGAACATGCTTTAATCTCAATCTGGAAGTGAATTTTTTGGCTCGCAGATTGATTGGTTTCCGGGAAAATATAGGAAAATCTGGAACTCTGGAATTCAAATTTGTAAACTTGACTCAGTTGGGAACTTCATGAGTTCAGTTTTTCCTGGGTTTTTGGGAGAAAATGGTAGATGTTAGTTATGGTAGATGAGGATTAAGATGTAATGAGACTTCGAATATTCTGGTTTTAGGTTTGAAATTCGAATAGAAGAAAGAATTGTAGCGAATTTAGTTGATTGGAGATTGATTTGATTCCGTGTTACCAAATACATCACTACTATTTGATGCTTAATCTGCCTTGTACCAATTTTTCTGCGGTGACCTATCGCTTTTTACAATCCAAGGTGGGGAAGCAGTTTGATTCAAATGTTATGGTTGATTGTGAATTTTTGGTGATCTTTTTCATTTTCAGGCAGCAAGTGCCGTTGCTTCCGCAACAATGACATCATTGAATGTCGAAGCCCCACGTAATAGGCTTCTTGACCTGGTTGCCAAGGTTTGTATTTGCATTACAAGGCTTATTTTTCCCTCTATTTTCAGTGTATGTTTCATTATTTAAACTCGGAAAGAAAGTTTTGGTTCTAAGGTGATTACAGGGACTTGCAGTGGAGAAAGATGAGATGTCGAGAGGGATTTCTTCATCTGCATATGATTTGGGCACATCAGTAGCTTCTGGATATGGTGGACTCCCAGCACCTCGCACTGTTGCTGTTGATTTTGGGTAGTTATTTGTTTTGGAATAGGTTTCTCAGTCATTTGATTACTGCTTAATGCTTTTTGATTTGCAAATTGCGATGGGTTAATAAAAAAAACTTCCAAACTTACGGAGGAATAATATGTACAAAAGTTTGTATAATGAACCTTAATAACATGATTGTGCACATCTTTTGTGCGAACAGTGCTGTGCAGGAAACAAAAGGCTTGTCGAAGAGTTTTCCAAAGCATGAGACACGCCATCTTTCAGAGCACAAGGTATGCATAATTAGGGAAACAGATATTGTATAACATTTTTTTTTTCATTAATTCACTAAGTTAGCATGATAAAACTCACTTTCCACTGGGTGCCTTACTTGTTCTGATGCTATAAGCTTTCTAGAATATTGCCAGATGTGCAAGGTTTAGTCCTGACGGGAAGTTTGTTGCTACTGGAAGTTCTGACACGTCAATAAAGCTTTTTGAGGTGCTCATTCTTTTAGCCATAGGTTTGTTTTTTTCATAAATGCAGCCCTATCTAATTCTCAGGCAGTTGTATTCTGTTTCAGGTTTCAAAAATTAAGCAAATGATGCTTCCAGAGGCTAGAGATGGTCCTGTGAGATCCATCATACGCACATTCTATGATCACTTACAAGTAAGTCGACATTTGTCCCTAATTCCGACTGATAAATTTGCTTTGCTTATGAAAAATTTATCCTGTAAACCTGACATTGTTAAATTAAACAAGTCGTATAGAATCCTCTTATATTTACTAAGCAGTGACTTTGTAGGAACATTAGACAAAGAAAATGTTTGAAGTAAGCTAATAATATGGGATTTATAGCTTCAAAATTACCTATAATCCCCCTCAGCTTTCAACTTTTGTATGTGTATAACTTTCATCCATGAAATAGACAACAAAGTCTTTGGGATATCCTCTTATGTCTAATGTTATTCGGATTTATTTGCAGCCTATAAATGACTTGGATTTCCATCCTCAGAACACTGTTCTTATATCTGGGTCAAAAGATCAGACCATAAAGTATGGATTCTTTTACTTTCTTAGATAATATTTGAATTTCCATTGTTTATTTATTGATAAGTTCTTTTAACTTGTAAGCCAACATATCTACTTGTCCCCCTTCTTCCGTTTTTAGTCATGTTGCTGTTTCCTCTTCTCCAAAGCCCTTGAACATTACCAGCATTAATTGTAAAACGAAACAGGTGTTCTCTTTGAACCCTTATGTCAATTTTATTACTGCTTTCAGGTTCTTTGATTTTTCCAAGATGACAGCAAAGAGAGCATTCCGAGTTATCCAGGTTTTGCTTGCCATCTCATTATAGATTGAGGCATAGTATAAAATGGCACTCCTTTAATAAATTGTCCTTTTAATGACACAGGATACACACAACGTGCGTTCAGTGTCTTTTCATCCTTCTGGAGATTTTGTTTTAGCTGGTAATATTATGCCCTTTTTTGTTTTTTCTATTTTCTTGGAGTAGCGTAGTTGCTTTAGCCAATTTAATGTTCCATGCAGTCTATGAGTTGGTGTTTTCTATAATGTGTACATGTGTTTTGGTTCGTATTCAAAGTGAATTAAATTCTTTACTCTTGCTACAACTTACCTGTGGCTTCATCAAATATTTTAGTTAATATATCATACTTTTTCGTTTTCTCATAAAAAAATGTTGTAAAGCTGATGTATGCTGAAGTTGATGACGGAGAAATTTCTAAAGCTCTTATGCAATGCCCGAAAGTTTTAGTTTACACTAAGATTGGCCTGCAATTAGTGCCAATAGTGGGCTACAATCCTACCATACAGTGAATTGGCTCCTAATAATGTTTATCTCAATAAAATCACAGGTACTGATCATCCAATTCCACACTTGTATGATATCAATACCTTCCAGTGTTACCTATCAGCAAATGCCCCAGAAATCAATGATAACGGAGCAATAAATCAGGTATATGGTTGACTCCATCTCTTTATTCATGCTTCAAGTTCTGCTATAAATTCTTCACAGATAAATATAATTCAATGAGGGCAATCAAATCCACATACTTGTGCATCAGGTCAGGTATACAGCTACAGGTGGCATGTATGTTACAGCTTCTAAAGATGGTGTTCTTCGTTTATGGGATGGTGCAACTGCCAAGTGTGTACGCTCCATACCAGCACATGTGATGGCAGAGGCAACCAGTGCAAACTTTACCAAGGATCAAAGGTATGGATCATAGAATAGGGCTAAGCCCTGAAACATGATGTGTATGAAAGTGCGCCCGTAAGTGGAAATTTGTGAAAGTACGTGTATGGATGGTTGACTTGGTTATGTGAAATGATGTTTCTGCATCTAAGTTGTTTCACAAATGTTGGTTAACATGGATAAGGAATATTTTGCTTATATATCGCCCTGTCGAATGTCTGGCTTTAGATGTGTTAAAATATCATTGTAAGATTGATTCATCCCTCAATTCTTTCTATATCTTTGACTTTGCAACCTTCCTGTTTTCTTTGTGGTATGACTCAAATGCTGGTTTTCTAGGTTTGTTCTCTCTTCTGGAAAGGATTCTACCGTGAAGCTTTGGGACGTTGGCACTGGGAAACTGGTTAAGCAATATCTAGGAGCTACACATACTAAATTGCGGTGTCAGGTATGCCAGAAAGGCTTTCTTTTGTTGGTTTTTCTTATGCCAAAGAAAGTGACTACATAATTCCTCTTGTCAACTACGTAAAATCCTCAAGAAGAATTCTTCTCCACTCAGCCCCATCTGAGTCATACGTCCACCACTCTAAATATCCTTCCTCGCCATTATCCTCCCAGATCAAAGTAATCCAAATAAGAAAATATCAAAGTTTGGTGATAAACTGTTCACGTATTAATATCAGATGCTTTTATACTCTTCTGTGCAGGCTGTTTTTAATGATACTGAAGAATTTGTACTGTCCATCGATGAACCGGCCAATGAGGTTTGTTCACTCCTACTGTATTTAGACGAGATATTGTGCTGTTTGGTTTCAATTGATAAGAGAACCAAAAAGAAAATGTTTCAACTTATAAATATGGCGTGGTTGCAGATTGTTATCTGGGATGCTATGACAGCGGACAAAGTAGCGAAGTGGCCTTCCAATCATATTGGTGCTTTCCGTTGGCTTGCACACTCACCAACGGAGGCCGCATTTGTTACCTGTGGGACTGACAGATCAATCCGGTTCTGGAAGGAAAGTATGTAAAGCATAGAAATCGGCTGGCGGCTTTCTTGCTGTGAAGAAATGTAGATTGATGATCTGACTTGGGATGTTACTCCACTTTTAATCTCGCAAACCCTTCATTGTCAAAGTCTTTTAACAAGTATGATTATTCGTATTCAGATCCGCTACGATGTATAAACTTAAATGATTTGGAATGTTGATTAGTTGGTTACAAGCTAGTTTCAGGCCCGACGTCTATGCAAACACTTGCACAGATGTCGGATCTGAAACGAGGTCAATTAGTGAACAAAGGGACATTTGAGCACCATATGCACCCCGGTTGGAATGTGACAATGTGAATCAGCACTTGCAATTTCCTATGCCAGATGATGGCTAAACCAGCTGAAATTTTTTGGTCCAGCAGCCAGTGAATCATGTCATCCATCTGCATATATGGTCGTTCAGGTGCTGTGGTTCACCTATTGAACCCAAAATTTCGCATAAACAAGAACATCATGTATGCAAATGACCATATTCGAAAGCTCGTCGCATCAACTGGTTTATTTCATATTTCACCAACTATAAGATCAAAACAACAATTCAAAAGGCAACCGGATTTGACGAAAACAAATGATCAAACTAGGAAAAACAGAAGCTTTGATAATTTGACAACTCCGACTTCTAATGACGTCTCATCAGTAGGCTCGACGCTGCATTTTCTTCGGCTCCTTTACGAAACTCAATCGAATTTGCTTCAACCGTCTCTTCTTCCTTGCCATCTTCTCAGGGAACGTTTCCCGCTTCTTCTCCTTCTTCGCACCCTTTAGCTCCTTCTTCGTCTTCAAGAAATACGGGGTCCACTGGATACGCCTTCTGTGTCAAAGGCACCCCTCTCTTTTGAGCCTCATTGAACAGGGCAGTGGCTCTATCGACACGGCTGTGAGCATACAGTTTCCCCATCAACAGCTCATAAGTCTTGATTCCGGGCTCAAATTTATCGTCCTTCATCTTCTTGAAAACACGCAATGCGTGATCGATCCTCTCAATGCCACACAAAATCTTCAAGAATCCATAATACTCCTTATTAAGAGCTTCACCGAACCCGGCAGACTTCATCTTATCAATCATTTCGTCTCCCTCCCCAATCCTTGCTGCCTGATACAAGCTCCTGATCAACACAAGAAACGTAGTCTCATTCGGGTAACACCCCCACTCACCCATTCTCTCAAACAGGTTCAGAGCATCCTCTGTCCTCCTAATTTTACACAAATTACTAATCATAACATTGAAAGTCTCCGCATTTCTTGGAACCCCATGAGTGTCCATATCCACCAAGATTTCCTCCACCTCCGAATGAAGGCGAAACGGGTCCTTCTTCCTACAAAGCTTCGAAACACAATCGAGAATCGCATTGTAAGCGGTAGTACCAATCTCAAACCGTCCTCTGTACATCTCCCCAGCCAATCTCCTCGCTTCCTCAAGCTTCCCATCAACACACCAACCCTGGATCAGCAAATCACACATATACACATCAGGAAAAAACTCATTGGCCAAACCCTTCACCATTTTCTCAGCATTGCTTGCAAACCCGTTTTCGCAGAGCTTTTCGATAACCAGTTTCAGCGAATCTTTGTCGCGCTTCAGCCCATAATCCTTCTCCATCTTCTCAAAGAAAGAAACAGCCTGAGCAGGCCTCCCTGCTCTCACCAGCCTATCAATGGCGGAATCAAAAGTTTTCGCCCCAGCAACTCCACCTGAACTCACAATCACATCGTGGGTCGCCTTGAAATCCTTCCTCCTGCCAAAGTAATCCACAAAATACGAGAGGGTCTCGTCGGAGTGCTCGAAATTAGGGTTCGAGATCAGCCACTGGTTAAACCCAAGAACCGTACGGCCGTACGGAGAGGACCAGGGAAGGGGTTGGAGTGATGTGAGAGAAGCTCAACTGTAGGCGTTGGGTTACGGAGAGGGGGTCGGAGCTGGGGTCCTGGAGGAGCTCGGAGGAGAGAGACTGAGCCAATTCGGATTGATCTGCATCTTGGGTCGGTGGGGCGGAGGACGAGAAGGGTTTAGAGAGAGAGAAATGTGGTAGACAGAGAAAGTGGGAGCTTGTTGCGGTGGTTATGGCGGGTTGGGAATGGCGGAAATGGTTGGGGTTTTGGGAGAGAACCGGGACGTGGGTTTGGAGTGTTTGGGAAGACGACGGCGATGAAAAGGTGCTGGAGAGATAGCGGAGGAGAAGCCGCCGGAGTTGCAGAGACTGTAAAGGCCGCATTTTGAGAGAGAGAGAGAGAGAGAGAGAGAGGGGCTCACTGTGGGAGCAGGGTTTTTTATTGGTCCTTAGCTCTACCAAAACGCAGCGTTTGGTTGAGTTTTCTATCAAATGGGCTGCTCCTAATGTGGGCTCAGGATGACTTCTTATTTTTCACCTAAAATTGGTCTTTTGATGTTAATTTTGTTGGGCTTCAAGCCCAATATAAACTGAAACCAAAACTTGAAAACTCAATAAAGTAACTTTGCCCATTTTAATTTTTAGTTTTTAATTTTTTGAAAAATAAAAGCTGAAAGTAATTATCAAACGAGATTTTCAGTTTAAAAAAAGAAATTGAAAACTAAAACGATAAGAATGCATATGGTACTAAAACAACCGTTTTGATCTTCTCGTATTGGTACTAAAACGATGAAAAGTGAATATGGATCACGGATGTGATTTAGAACCTGGCACCCTGCATGACTATCTAAACTAGCTAGGAAAGACTAAGGCAAATTATAACAAGCATCGAAGTAATTTTTAATATGAAATTTGAACTCAGAACTTCGTACAACAAAATAGCAATTGAGTGGTACTAAACTAAATGATCATGCGCCTCAACCAAAAACTTAGTAGTTTAAACAACTGACGTTGCAGAGGCCTAATATCTTTTGGCAGTCAATAATACATAAGCAGTCAAACTTTCTACAAACCATGTTATGCACACTATTATATGTTAGATTTGTCAAAAGTTGCCTCTTGGGCCATAAGCTAGCGCACTCCCCTTAATTACATGCCAGTTGAGAAGTATATTAGTACTAGTCATATAGACAATTTTTTTTCTCGAGTCAAAAAGGTGAGAAATTGCATGTGTGTGTATATATATATTCTTTTTACATTGAGATAGATGCATATTGGGATCAAAGTGGCTCCAGGACTATCCAGAGTGAGATATACATTTGAAGGTCTTTTGAGGACCATTCGAATATTTAGTACGTTTCCTTTTTGTGCACACCAAGTGTCTGGTGAGATATCTCTCGCAGGTTGCGTCGACAACATTCAACAAATTCTTTTAATAGCACTCATTAGATTGTTTTAGCATATGTCAATATCTTTTGACATGTGCAAAACTTAGTTTAGCTAACGACAACAAGCCCACAAGTCTTCAACGAAATGTCTCGGTGAATAAATTGCACTCTGTTTCTATCTAAAAAACTTGGACTTTTAACACTGGGAGCTCCCAAGGTTCGAACCCTAGATCTGCCACTATGCACTCTGGTGTGGGTTTGATCCCTATCTTCCTCCCTAACAACTAACAATTTAAGCCATTAACGATACCATTTGTAAAAAAACCACTAAGATGAGATGGTCACTCTCTCGGCGTAATCATCATTAACTATTGTGATTGTCATCATTGTAAATCACATAATGATAGAGATGATGAAGAAGGGAATGCATAATTATAGAAGCATGTAGAAGGACATGTCTTTGCGGATCCTATTTAACTCTAAGAAAGAATAAACAAATTAAACATCTAAACTTTCTTAGGACCTACATATAATTGTTAAGATAAACTAAACTACTTATTTCCGTTAATACATGTGTGAAACCATTGACGCAGCAGTACAACTTGGATTTCAAAAAATTCATGTACCCTACAGCGGGGTCTGGTTTTTCTTCCTATCTGGGATCACAAGGAAAGTCCCTATTGATCGATCAATTGTCCGGCCGATTGACTTCACTAATTATATGTGCATATGTACAATTATATGCAGAGTTGAGCAAAGTGGTCCATGCAAATGGGATGAGGAAGGAGCTAGCACAATTTGCTTTTTCTCAATTTTTTGTTTAATTTAACATGTTGGTTGTTAAAAGGGAAATCTTTTGAAATGTCATAAGAACTTATACATTATTTTTAATTTGTCATATGAACATAAAGAATATCATCTAACTTTACCATTGGATTTTGTTGGAAAAAAAAAAAAAAACTTTACCATAGGATACCCAGTGACTTTACATTTTTAAGTCATCTTCACTTCGAAACATAGAGAAATGAGTGCAGATCATTCTCCTTTTTTGAATGGCAAAACACTTAGATCCTTGTATACCAAATCAACCTCCTTTTTGTATATTTTGAGAAACCATAGAATTATTTTTGTCGAAGGCAACTTATTATAAAGGGAATGAGATGTTGAAGTGTCCAAAATAACCTTGAACACAAGTCATGTGCCTTGATGATGAGTTATTTTGAAAAAAGATAAATCGCTTTAAATTTTAATTCATATGACAAATAAAAAAACAGTTCATATGGTATTCAAAATAAATTTGTTTGTTAGAACATATGTTGGAAAAGCATCCAACAAGAGCATATAATGAACCCTGTACCCACATAATATTTATAAATAAACAACAATTAGTTGATCCTTGATCATGATCCCAGCCACTTGATTAATACGCATGAAATTATGTAAAGCAACTGTGGTTTTATAGAATATCTTGCCACAATGCATGATACGATATAATTAATGGTAAAAAAATAATTTAGTTTAGTAGGGGTTTGGGGTTAGGGTGGTGGACGATGATTCGCCCAGATGCGCTTCTTTAGGGCTTTCGGACTTAGCTAGGGTTTTACAGTCGACGGAGTAGGCAGCCTGAATTGTACTTACTCATTCTTTATTGAAAACTTGGTTAGCCAAAATCATGATGACCTCTTCTCCTCATGGAAAAACATGAAGATAAGTGTGGGGTTGATCTGTTCCATGCTTGTTGTAATGGTGAATGCTATTATGATCCGTTTTAAACTCTGTTAGATGAGTTCTGTAGGTGCATGCCATTGATTTTTATGACTTGCACAGGTTTGTCTTTGGTAATCCAGCCTACTAATAGCCTGTCTCTTTAAACAATTTTCAACGTTCGATTTTTTATAATCTATCTTAACCGTTCATTCCCAATCTACTCAGTAGTCCCGAACTATTGAAGAAAAATTGGACTTTGCACATATAACTCTGTCGTTTCAATTTCCACGCATATTGGTAAGGAAACAAAACAGTATTTTTAGATATTCCCTCAATATCTTGATGTTTCCATGGTAATTA